AGTTCAAACCCACCAGCCACTCCTCGGAAGGAAGATGGGACAATCTACTTCCATAGTGATACTGCCTCAGAAACCCAAGGAGGGGTCGCTATGAGCTGGAACCCACTCCACAGCAGTGCATTTGTTTTTTAGCATAATACGGTTTGCATTCACTCTCCTACTTGTCTGCCAAATCTTAACTGAAGGCCAACTAAACACCAGGCTCTGTGCTGAATTTAGGAATTCAGCAGTGTCAAGATAGACATGAAGCCCTCATGGAGCTCCCTCATGGAGCTCCCAGTCTAATGAGGGAGTCAGATTTTAACGCAAAAAAGTTGCACAGTCTGTGCCATGAGTAGGAGTGCAGCAAGCCAAGCTGGTGGGGTGGGTCAGGGAGATTCCAGGTAGAGATAACAGTGTGTGCAAAGTCCCTGTGGCAGGAGGAAGTGACGCATATTCCAAGAAGTGGCCCCAGACCAGCAAAGTGGAAAAGGAAAGAGCAAAGAGGAGAATGGTCTTGGAGGGGATCTCTGCTGAGCCTGTGAGTCATGCAAGAGACTCTGTTTCTTCTTAGAGTCACGTGCCCACATCTCAGGAAATCTATCAAAAACAGGCCTATTTTTCAAGGTTTGCAGAACCCAGTCCTCTCTATGGTGTCTCTCTGGGGCTCGGATTCTACACTGGAAAAATGAAGATAATAATAGTGCTTACTTCATAGGGTGAATGTGAGAATTCAAGGCTGACATAAATGGAAAGCACTTAGCTCACGGTGTGGCACATGGTCAGCCTCAGCCCATATGAACATTATAGTTTTTTTCTCCTCCCATAGCCCATTTGCTTTCATGCATTTTATCCTCAACCTTCTCCAGGTTCCAGGCACAGCACAGGCACTGAAGAGTCTTGAACAAGAGAGACAACAATAGTCTCTGAAGCAGAGAGCTCTTCTCTCCCTCCTAATTATTCACCTGAACTCATTCAACAAACGTTTACTGCCTTCCTACCCCTACCAAGCACTTGTTCTAGGCGCTGAGAGTACAAATAACATTGGCACGGGACGTGCTTTCTGGCCTGTGGGATGACACCTGCTCTTTTGTCCTCATTCAGTTCTATGCCATCTCCCCAAGAATTGTCTGAGTCCCACTCTGGTTTAGGTCCCTTCTCTGGCCCCCACCCAACTTCCGCCAGGCCACTTGTCACTCTGAACTGTAACTGTGTTATAATCTATCTCCCCCACCAGACTGTGAGTTCCTGCCGTGCCTGGTCTGGTGCTTGGCTCATAGAGAGCCATCGGTTTGTCAGGTCTAAGGTGGAACAGGGAAGCCCCGCCTCCTAGTTCTAAACTCCTCCCCCTTTCCACTCTTGTCAGTGCCCTGGTCCAGCTGTTGGGGGAAGGGCTTCAGGACCAGTGGCCAGACCCGGGGTGCTCTCCCATCCCCACCCTCCCCGGACTCACTGAGAAGCCGTCGACTGGAGTCGCTGACCGTCACGTTCTCCTGCCAGAAAGGGTTCAGCAGCAGCATGCACGGGCTCTGGACTGGACAGGTGGAGAAAGCACTGGGTGGGACCCTGGAGCTCTGACCCCCAGCCCACGGTTTCACCCCACCCAAGATGCTCCACCTCAGCGGGCGTGGGGACAGCTGTGGGCAGAGCTGGGCACCTCTCAAAAGGGGGTTCACAGCCCCAGTCCTCTGGGCCCCACTCCCAGACACAGTGGCATCATTGGGCCTGGGGTCACCCAGTGTGGTAACTCATGGTGTCGTGCCCTGCCACAGACCTCCTACACCAGACCATACAGAATCCTTCCCAAAACCCCACTGCCACTGAGTTGATTCCGACTCATAGAGACCCCACAGGGTTCCCAAAGCTGCCAA